CGTAGTAACTCATGCGCGTAACATCAATCATGTTCGCCTCCGAATATGCGCCTCGGGTGTTCGAGTTGTCACCAAAGTCTTCGCGCAGAACTGTCCTCCACTTCTGCTCATCCTCCGGGGTAATTGGCTTGACAAGAATCTCAAGCAGGTTGTTACCCGTTTGCACCCGGATGATGTACAGAATGCACCTCTTGGTCTCCATAAACAGCCCCTTAGTCTCAGCTTCTGGATCCTCCATATCGTGCAGTTTGGGAGTCAGGAACAGCTGGATATCAGCGGACCCGCCTGCGGTCATTTCATTCTCATTATTCTTGGCGTTACCGAGATCTTGGATGATCTCGCGCAGCATATCATCTCTGCTCGGGCACAGATAAGGCAACTCGGCAGCGATGAGATTGTGAATGGAAAAGATATCCGCCATCTTGATGTACAGTGTTGGCTTGTTCTTGGCGTAGAGATCGTTGAACTCGTCAATGTCGAATGTCTTCTCAGCGTCAGGTACATCAATGAGGGAATTTGCGATGTGAGCCAAGCGCTCGATTGCTTCGGCGACGAAAGCATTGAGAGGCTGGAGATAGATGTTCTCTCCGCCAAATGGTCTGCCTGATGCAATCTGGCCTAGGACTTTTGCAACCTCGCCGAGGTTACGCTTCTGGAGGGGACTCATTTGCTTTTCCGTGACACCGTATGACTCTGGGCTGAGGAGAGCAGGTTGGAGGTAGAAGCGCCAGAGCCAGTTGCTTACAAACTGGAGCACATTCTGCGGGTGATCCCTCTGGAAATGCTGACAGAGAGCTTCGTACGTTTGCCGACACACAAATCTCAGGCCGTAAGGCATGCGAGGAAGCAGGTCCTCCAGGGCAAGGAGAAACTGGTCGCAGATCTCTCGGAGATCCCGCAGATGATCGATGAAGAGCTCTCTGGTTTCAGGATCCTTGATGGCAACCTCACGAGGGACATCCAGAGGTCTTTGGCTGGGCCGACCGGTCCTCAACTCCTCATTGTTGATAGCAGACCGGTAGATCTGCATGGGGTCGCTTTCAAGATCCAGCGCTGGATCCTCAATGATGTTGTCTCTGATGAGGGGTCCCAAGAGATCTCTGAGGTATTTCCTATCGCGAGGGGATCGGGTGTAATTCTGGAGCAGCTTGGTCCAGAAGTAGTTGCCCCTCAGATAATCCTGCAGAGCGGCACATGCTTCGACTTCTTCCCTTATCGACCTGGAAATAAGCTTCAATAAGTAGTATTCCTCTCTCCGCTTTTGCGCATAGCCGAACAGCCCCATCATCAAGTGCTCAATCCGCTTTAACTCCTTTTCCGTTATTCCTTGCTCGCGGATACGCCTGAAGAGCTTGGCAAGGTACTGAGGTTGTGTCTGAAGGGTGAAGAACAGCTGCTGGTAGGATTCAAGCTTCTTGCGGGAACTCTTATTCAAAGCCTTAAGGTCAAACTGATTGGCATTTGAAATAACACTGTTGGCGAGAAGGCTGTTTGCATGTCCGCCATAGTTGTGCTGATGTCTGACAACTTCATCAAGGGTAATTTTATTCTTGACGAGAAGAGCGATCTTGATGTCTAGCTGGTCGATGTATTGCTCCAGCATCTCGTTTTGCCGAACCTGTTGGACAACGGTCTTCCGTAGGCGCTCAAACTCTACCTCCTCATTGAAGTCAAAATCGCTGTCGTTCAGAAGATGGACGAAGTTCTTGACGGCGTTGACTGGTGGGTTCTTTCCAGATGTCAAGCTCTTGTAGGCTTCACCCTGAAGCTTGGCTCGTACGAAACTCTGAATCTTGACAACCTTTTGCATGTTCTCCCGGAAGAAGCGCTTCTTCTCCTCGTACTTGGCTCTGACCACGAAAGCCTTGGCAGCAGCCTGGAATGCCGCTACAGACTCCTCGTTTTGTTCCAGTTCATCCAAGACCATTGCAACATCGCTCCGAAGCAACATGGCCCGAGCAAGGGCTTGCAGTTCGGTGATCTCCTCGGTATTGACTGCAAGCTCGTCCAACAACTCGCCACACTCCTTGCGATAAAGACATCCGCGGATGTGTGCTTGAAGGTCAATGATGTTCGGTGTCTCCTGAGTAAGAGCATCCAGATCGTCCGATAACCTCATACGTTCAAGCATACCTCGGATCATGGACTGAAGATCAATGATGGCATCCTCCGTCTCCCCGATGCTTTCAAGCTGCTCTGATATCTCCCTCCGCACTGCCGCTGCCCTAATGTGGGACTGAAGAAGGCCCATCTCAGTTGAATGCTTCTGCAACTCTTCTTTAGTAGCATCGACGTCGGACCTAGCAACCTTGCCGCGGAAGGCAGCTTGGATGGCTGTCCATTGCGGCGCAAAGCCTTCAAGGGCTTGTAGCTGGGCATCAACCTCAGTTCTCGCTTTCATGGCCCTTACAGCAGCCTGAAGACTAGTGATGGCTTCAATGTTGCTCTCCAAGGATGCTCTTTCTTCCTCCAGATTCTTCCTCAATATCATACCACGAACTGCGCTCTGAAGTTGAGCAATCGTAGCGCCTTCGCTCTCTGTCTTTTCATATTGCACGGCGAGCTGCTTTCGAGCCAGAAATCCTCGAAATGTCGCTTGAATGTCTCGCAGGGGTCCCGCTGCCGTCTCCAACTGTGAATGCTGCTCCCGAATCACATTGCGGACCTTGGCCGCTCTGACCATACTTTGGAGTTGCAAGACCACATCCTCGTTGCCCTTGAACTGCTGCTCGGTTTGTGTCCGCTGGCGACGAGCAAGATATCCACGCGCCGCTTTTTGTAGCTGAATCGTGAAACATGTTTGTGCATATTGTTGACGAGCGATAAATCCACGTGCTGTCTTTTGCAACTCGATCGCAAAACTTGTTTGTGCCTTTGTTTCTGCATGTCGATAGCGGGCGAGGAAACCGCGCGCTGCGCTTTGAAGCTGGACCGCGAAATTCTTCATCTGGAGCCTGTAATCCACCACCTGGCGAGCCCAGTCACCACGAATACGAGACTGGAGATCAATGATCCAGTCTTCATTATCCCACAGATGTTGCATAGTGTAGCCAAGCTGTATCCTTTGAAGCGCCGCTCTGGCCTGAGCTTGTAACTCTACAATGGCCTCTTCGTTTTCGGCCAGTTCTCTCTCAATGCGTTCCTCCTCCGTCTCTTCGGGTTCAGCTGGCTCAATTCCAAAGTCGGCGCCCATATTGCCGAAGCTAGGCATACTAGCCCCCAGCTTATCGAGGCCTTTCTGCATCGCCTCCAGCTCATGGTCTTCAAACTCAAGCTGGCCGACCAGATTCCCGATGCGGAAATCGACAATTCCTTTCCGGAAGAGAAGCCAACTCAAAGCATGGAGACAGTATATAACTTTCGGGATGTTCTTTTTCTCGTACAGATCGATAAGCTCAAATCGAAAGAGGTCGGGAAGTTCGACTTCATCAAGGTAACGGAAGAAAATGGCGATATTGTCTGAATGGCGGTATTGAAGCTTAGGATGGCGGAAAATGCGGAACTTCTTTTCAGGGTTAAGGGATTCGACCACTTCGGCCAAAGTAACTCCATCTCGCAAAGCTTCCTCTAATTCGATAATCGGGGGGATCGGACGCTGTATGATATCCTCAATCCATTCCTTCGCTTCACCAATGTGGCAAAGGTATTCATAAGCCTGTAGAAACTGCCGTTGCTTGTCCATCCACTTCGTCTCCCAACCAAAGCCGCCATTCTTTTGACGCGCCGCTACAGACTTGTCAGCTCTTTGCAACCTACGGCGTCCGCGAAGACCAACAACTTCCTGCGACGGAGATATCATGGCAAGCTCTCCCGCCGTTCCGTCTTGTGCGAACTGAGAAAGTGTTCGGAGTTGGCTTGTCGATGAACGACCTAACTTTTCCAGATCCGGACGAGCGAGGGCAATGGGACTCGAGTGTGCGTGTACCAGAGCCATTGACCCATTGTCACTTCCTCCACGCACAGAATCTGATCTGGATAGAAACATGGAAGCCGGCCTTCGCGTTGAAGGGGTCGTTGGAGAAGTTGCCGGAGGCGATGTCACGGTCGGAGACATGCCTGACGAAGTACGTGTATTATCGCCAATCGATAATTTGCCGATATCGATGCTATGACCGCGCTCGTGGAGGGCACCCGTAGGCGATATCCGCGGACGTTCCGGTACCGAGGACTTGCCGACATCGAAGCTTGCAAGACGTTCATGAACAGTTCCCGTAGGCGATATCCGTGGGCGCTCAGTCGCCAGAGGCTTGCCGTTGTCGAGACTCTGACCGCGTTCGCGATGGGTAGTTGAGGTCCCATACTCTCCGATGGACAGCTTGCTGATGTCGACACTTTTTCCACGATCGTGGTGGCCTGGTGTGGGCGTTCGCGGCGCGATTCTCGAACCCGCAGTCGATATGCTGCTGCTGGCGGGCGCTGCTCCCGTAGAGGCTTGAGATGTCGGTCGGAGGGACTGGCGGGCATTCTTGTAGATATTGTCGCTTGTCGGCGTGGACGGGAGGGTGTGTGAGCCACCAGACAGGCTTGGGGGTAGCCGGCTCGCCTCGCTTTGGCCCCGCTTGTGTCCATATTGGGAGTAGACGCTGGTTGCTGTAGACAAGGAGCTAATGGGTCGACTGATATCCGACTGTCCTATGGAAGAGGCCGAGTACCCCGATGATGATGTTGATGTGGTGGAGGACTGTCTATTAACCGAGTAGTCGGCGGTCTGTGTCTGACGAAGGGGGTGTGGTTTGTACGACGACATGTTGGGCGAGTTGTCGAGGCTACCGGAGGAAGGAGGATTTGGACGCGGGAATCGTTTCGTAGAGACCGAGGGTCGCCGGCCACATCAGAGCGAGCGGCTTTGCGATGCGGTTGCGCGGATCGTCCCTCGTCTTGCCGTGAGTGTGGAGCAGGCCGAAGATCAGGCTCGAGTTGAGTGCCAAGCGGGTGGTCGGGGGGACGACTCGACGGTTGTTCACTATCGCCTAGTCAGAGCGAGTAAAGATTGGGGGGCGCGAAAGGCGTGAACTGAATCGGGCATGCGTACGGGACGAATAGTGAGGGCGATGATATATTAAAACCTAAAACTTAACCAACAAGTACGGAGTGGTGGATGATGGCAGTTGGAAGTTGGCGGACATGGCGCGCGGGCGCTTAACCGGCTCCGATCTGTCTCTTCACTCGTGGGTCGAGTTCGGAAATGGAAGGTTGACTGCGCGCAGCGCACGTGAAGGAATCGATATCTCTAGGGAAACTGGCACACCTACGAGACAAAATGTAATGATCAAGACACTATGATGGGAATAGCTTCATTCCGTCTGCTCTCCTGCACCAAAACAAAACAGACAACCGGGACTTTGGAAAATGCAATGGCAAGCAAGGCGAGGCAAGGCAAGTGCGAGGCGGCTTTGGCGGGCTGTAGGCTCTTGGAGAAGCGAGACGGACATGGGGGGTGTCCAGTGACTTGCAGTACCCGCCCTCCACTTGTGCTTGGAAGACGAAGAAGAAAGTGGGCGGTTGGGAAATGGAGGGGAACACGAGGTTTGGATGCGGCGGCCGGCAGTGGTTGGCTGCCTGTGGTGGCCTGTCGTGGACGGTGGTTGCCCTGCCCGTTGCACTTGCCCTGCAGCTGCTGCCCATTTGTTTACCATCCCATGTGCCTGCCCGCCCTGTGCCGCCCTAGCAACCAGAGACGGGACGAGGGGAGACCTCGACGGGAGGCTCGAGCTCGCTGAGACCAGATTGAGCTCGAGCCAAGTGCTCCCTCCCGAGCTACCTACCCTAGGTATCCTCTTGGCGGGTGACCTCATCCACCTACTTGTAGTCCCGCTGCCGGTCCTACAAAAGACCGCAAGGGCCGAATGGGCGCAACTGTAAACTTGAAACTGCCGCACGGACGTTCCGCACAACGGAGCGAGCGGAGCCAGGTCCGCCGAATTCCAACATGGCCGAAACATCGAATTTCTCTGTGTCTTGAGCCGGAGGCAGGCAGTATGTACTTGGTGACAGTCGACAGCGAGGTTTAGTCAGCGAGGCAGCCGGACTCGGATGACTCAGGACAACTTCATGATGTTCTTTCCTTGCCTCCGCTGAAGCAATCCGAAGGATGATCAGAGAAACTGAATCAACGGAGAAATTCCCGACTGGGAAAACGGCAATCGAAATTCATCTGCAGAGATAGACAGCAATGGAAGTGACATGAGATGACTGACATGAGATGAAATGTTAAATCGGCGCTGCTTCTTCACAGCGCCAGACTGAAGTTGAAATGCAAAAGTCCGGTCTTAACATAAACGTAGGCTAATTCCCACAGCCCAATGATAGTGACACAGAGGGAAGGGAATTCATCGAGTCACGCTATACTCCACATGCGACCCTCTTCAAACCACCCACCGCCCGGCAGAAAGCCCCGCGGCCGGGGGCTGCAGGGTCTGGACCATAAAAAAAAATTTCGAAGGCAAACTCCCAGATCTTGTCTTTTCCTCTTCGTTTTCTTGGGGGGGGAAAAGTCGGCTGATCCAACCACTACATACCCGTCGCTGGCTTCCCCCCAAAGAATCAACCCTTTGTCTTTAATATACATCACTTGCCCTTGCATCATTTTGCCCTTCTCATCTTCATTGATTGCAGAAAATGGCAGTAAACGGCAACAACACCTTTCTTGACCACACCTCCGCCATGGAGGTCCTCAAGGAGTATGAGCGTCGCGATGGCCTCGACATCCGTGACCTCATGGACTCCAAGCTTCAGGGCGGCCTTACCTACAATGATTTCCTGCTCCTTCCGGGTTACATTGGCTTCCCTGCCTCGGCCGTCACCCTCGATTCGCCCATCACCAAGCGTATCACCCTCAAGACCCCCTTGGTCTCCTCTCCCATGGATACCGTCACCGAGCACGAGATGGCCATCCACATGGCTCTCCAGGGCGGTGTCGGTGTCATCCACCACAACTGCTCGCCCGACGAGCAGGCCGACATGGTCCGCAAGGTCAAGCGCTACGAGAACGGCTTCATTCTCGACCCCGTCGTCATTACCCGCGACACCACTGTCGGCGAGGCCAAGGCCTTGAAGGAGAAGTGGGGTTTCGGTGGTTTCCCGGTCACTGGTAAGACTCCATTCCCACCGCGTTCTGATCTCTTCTTTCCCCTGGTCCTCCTGATGATAAACCTATAAATCATAACTTTCGTTCCACCATATCGACCTATGTGTCATGAGGAAACAAATACACTGAAAATCCTGATTGGACCCTACTTTTTGAAACCTTTTGCAGCACAATTCTTACCTCGCTTCTGGGAGCTCGTGCTGACTTTGCTTCATATAGAATCTGGCAACCTTGGCTCCAAGCTCGTTGGCATCGTCACCAACCGCGACATTCAGTTCGAGACTGATCTTGACAAGCCCGTTTCGGAGGTCATGGTTACGGACCTGATCACCGCTACCGCTGGTGTCAATCTTCTCGAAGCCAACAAGATCCTTGCCCAGTCCAAGAAGGGCAAGCTCCCCATTATTGACAAGGAGGGCAATCTTGTCTCTATGATCTCCCGCTCCGATCTTACCAAGAACCTTCACTTCCCCCTTGCCTCCAAGACCAAGGACTCCAAGCAGCTCATCTGCGCCGCTGCTATTGGTACCCGTCCCGAGGACAAGGACCGCCTTGCCAAGCTTGTCGACGCTGGCCTCGACATTGTCATCCTTGACAGTTCTCAGGGTAACTCCATGTACCAAATTGAGATGATCAAGTGGATCAAGAAGGAGTTCCCTGATCTCGATGTCATCGGCGGTAACGTTGTTACCCGCGAGCAGGCTGCTGCTTTGATCGCTGCTGGTGTCGACGGTCTTCGTATCGGTATGGGCAGTGGCTCCGCCTGCATTACCCAGGAGGTCATGGCTGTTGGCCGTCCTCAGGCTACTGCTGTCTACAACGTATCCTCTTTTGCTGCTCGCTTCGGCGTTCCCTGCATCGCTGATGGTGGTATCCAGAACGTTGGCCACATCGTCAAGGGTCTCGCTCTTGGTGCCTCCACTGTCATGATGGGTGGTCTCCTTGCCGGTACCACCGAATCTCCCGGTACCTCCTTCGTCTCCCGTGAGGGTAAGCTTGTCAAGGCTTACCGCGGCATGGGTTCCATCGACGCCATGCAAGACAAGAAGGCCGGTGGTGGTGGCAAGGACGCCCAGAAGAGCAACGCTGGTACCGCTCGTTACTTCTCTGAGGGTGACAGCATCCTCGTTGCCCAGGGTGTCTCTGGCGCTGTCGCTCACAGAGGATCTATCAACAAGTTCGTCCCTTATCTTGCTGCTGGGTTGAAACACTCTCTGCAGGATTGCGGCATGACCAGCCTCCAGGAGCTCCACGAGTGTGTCGAGAACGGCACTGTTCGTTTCGAGATCCGCACTGCTAGCGCCCAGCTGGAAGGCGGCGTTAACATGGAGTCTTATGAGAAGAAGCTTTACGCCTAAACGCTTCAGCTTTTTATTCCCGAATGGTCGGTGGATTTGGATGATTGGGTTTCAAAAAGGGTTATGCGGGTTGCAATGGAGTTCGGTGGCGATATCATGGGATTGTTGAATGGGAACTTTTTGAGGGATCACACGAAATCAAGATGGTTGTGCGATATATAGAACGCAGATAGATACAGCCTGCAAAAGAGAAGGCTTGAGCACGTCGATAGGCGACGTTGCCCGGAATTTAAAAGGAACTTGTTCTTGATGGATCACACCATTTTTCGCTTGTCCTGAATTATTCATGTGCTCGTTTGCGTTTGTGTGTGTGTTCTTTTTGTGGGTTCGTGTATCGACGCATCCCCGTACGCGATCTGCATCTGGCTACTTGATCATGGATGCGATCGTCAGTTGTTGCCGTTCATCCTCTGCAATACAATCATGATATTCGCTGTTTTTGCCAGTGGCGTGATGATTCTGCGATGTTCATGGTTCGCGCTGTTCTCCGTACTCTATGGAGTCAGAGGAGAATTCGAGCCCGGACAATTGTGAAGATAAATGTCATGATTTTGCGGTATTTTCCGGACGGAAAAAGGATGATTATCGAAATGTTCAACAGCATTGTTCAACAAAACCGACTTATTCTTGAAGACCCTCATCGTAAACTAAAGTAATAGTGCTTGGAGAATTTCCAATGTCCAAATATGTGATATTCATACTTGCGTGAACAGTCTCCCTAGTAGAGTGAAATGACCAAGTCTACTGTCGTGCCTTTCTTGACACTGCCCTTTTCTACTTCTACCTGTTTCTAAGAATGAAGTCGTCTGCCGACATCTATTGATTTAGTTCGTCCGTCATATCTTCATGAGCTATTCCTTCTAGTCTCTGTCATGTACAGTGTCTTTTGAATTTTGTTTCACATCCGTTCTCCTTTTTCTCTATGCTTCGTTTTATTTTGAAAATTTTCGGTCCTTGCATACGTCCCTTTCTTTTTTTTTTCCTCATAAAAGCGATCAAGTCCGTACTTTCCTCCGCCCGTGCTCATTTTTCTTTTTTCAGGAGAGAGGCCTTACTTCTGGAGGGCACTCTCCGGCAAAGTAGCAACCTTCTCATCAAACAACTGCTTCGCCCTCGCCCAGACAGGCGAGTTTTGCCAGTCGTTAAGCGTAAGCAACGAGGGAAGCAAGTCATGGCTGAAGGCCTCGGAAGCCTCGCGCGGCAGAAGCGAGGGGAGGTGGTCGATGGAGATGACGGAGAGAGGAGGACCGGAGGTCAGCCCGTCGACAGGAACCGTAGGCTTGTCGAAGGTCGTGGCCACCGTGTAGATGGGCACCGGGGTGAAGGGAGAGGTGGTGTCGGCGGAGACGTCGCAGACTACGCGGAGCTGGCGGTCGGGGACCTGGAGGGACTCCATGTTCACTGGTACTTTGTTAGTGAGGGTGCTCCCGGTTCTTGTTTTGGTGAGGGGAAGGCTGTTGTTGCTGGAGGCTGGAATATGTGGATGTGGGCCAGGCTAAGAGTAAAGCCGAATTTCCGGCTTTGTAGTGACTTTGTCCCCGAGAAAAAGGGGGAAAAGGAGAGGGAATACGCATACCAAAGTTGGGAATCTTGCTGGTGAGGTAGATGCAGTTGACGAAGATGTCGCTGTCGGTGATCTCCTCTGTGATGGTAGTCAGTACTTTTGTTCCAGATCTGGGTAAGTCCTAGGGGTGTGCTGGTTCCAAAACATACTGAAAGGACCGCCCTTCGCAGTCTCGGCCATATCCCAGTCGAGAATGTTCTCATCGGGGATGCCGGCCTTCTTGAGAGCGCTGACGGCACCGGAGCCGCAACGGCCACGGGCACCAATGACGATCACGCGAGGAAGACGGCCGGCCGCCTCAACACCCTCCTTGACAGCCTTCTTGACGTCGGCGATCAGAGCATCCTCGTTGGGGTAGCTCTCGACGCCGGGGAAGGGCTCGCTGTGGTTGAGCTGCCAAGCCCACACCTCGAGGGCAAGGGCGGCACCGGCAAAACCAGCATGGAAGCCGAAAGCAGCCACACGGCGACCGTGCTCATCAACCAAGAACTCGAGGTCAAGAAGAGTGCCGCCACCGCGGGGGAATCTGGCAAGGACGTTCTCCCAACCGGCTTGCTGCTTGTCTGTGTTGTCTCGAGTCAGCAATGATTCTCCTGGCCACCAAAAAGTGCCGGACGTGGCAAAACTTACAGCAGTGAGCGAACTGAACATGAACGTGCTTGAGAGGGAAATCCTTCTCCTCCAACTCCTTCAGGCCAACAATGATGTGCTCCTTGGGAGCATCGACCCAGCTGTGCTCAGGCACCAGAGTGGCGCCAGCCTTCTCGAACTCCTCATCGTCGAAAATTCGCTCGGGGGAGCGCTCGACGTTGACAATGTAGCCAGCCTTGATGAGCTCGGCGGTGGTGGCGGGGGTGAGCGCAGACCGGTGCTCGAGATGCTTGGTCTCGCTGCGGAGGTGGAGAACGGTAGGGGCCATTTTGTGAAGGGGACGTTGAGTTATGGAAAACAAAGAATGAGAAAGTTGAAGATGGATAATGGAGAGATTTGTTTTATACGGGCCAGGGCGAGATCGGGCATGGCCTGCGGGATGGGCTGCCAGGGTTGATTGAGTCACTGCCACTGCGGGAAAACAGGGCCCGCCAGGCTCCTTCCCAGTAAATCGACTGTCTTCTCATAGTAGACCGACTATCTCTAACCTAAAAGAGCAGGCAGTCTGGAAGGCAGTCTCTCGTTTAGTTGCTTAGCAATATCGATCCCTGCCAAATCTCCCACAGTAGAGCATAGTCAAAAAACCAGCCACAGATACGTACCTAGTACTGCACAACACACACGGCATAGAATTAATGCTAGAAATTTATATAATAGTCGTAAAAAGACGATATTTTAAAGGGTTGAGATTTATATAGATAATAATATAAATTAGTAGTTATACTTTAAAATTAGATAATTATTTCTCTATATTAGGCGGCCTTCGTCTTCTTCTATTTAATAACCGCCTTACTAACTATAGCGGACGTAGTATTAGGAGGCAGTTGTATATTAGAAAGTATACTCTAAATAATCTACATAGTAATTATAGTATTAAAGCTATTCTCTTATATATTTGAAATTATTATTAGACCCTCCTATTGCGTCAATACTAGTCGCTCTAATTATATTACCTTCTAAATAAGTGTAGGCTTCTTTATAATTGCAGTCTTTACCCTCTTATTAGATAGGGTATTATATAAGGGATTGTATTAAATAGAAGTATTACGATGGTTGTGAGTATTAAATACGTTGTTAGGTAGAAATTGGGCGTTATTACGTACTTATATTTACTAATACTTTAATAGTATACGATTAGGGTTATCTTTATTGTAAAGGGTAAGGAGTTGAGCTGACGGTGGTTGGGCAATATTATTAGTATAGGGATTCTTATAAAAATAATATTACTAAATATATATTTATTCTTTAAAATACTAATATTTATCGATATTACTTAAGGAGAGTTATATATTGCGCTAGATTAATATATAAAATTTATACTAATAAGACAAGCTATATTAACAGCAGAAGTAAAAAGTATAACTAATATTAGGTCTACCCCTTTATATAATATTAATTACTAGATTAATTTACTTATTAATTAAATTAAGCGCTATAAAGCCAATTAAGTAATAAAGGCGCTTTATTATTCGATAGTTATAATTAACTACCTTTTTAGAAATCTAATTTTAATAGTTAGCAATATAATTACACTTCAACCTTATAAAGATTTTATTAATAATATTTAAAAGAGTATTTAAATTAATAAAATAGTTTTTAATTAACCATTTAAAAATGCTATACGAGCTTTCTATTCGAGAGGTAATTCGAATATTAAAATTACAATATCTCTTAATCTAATAATAGGCAAACTCGCATTAGACTAATAAGTAAGTATTATATAAATACTCGATTAATATTATAAAAAATACAGTCAATTAGTAAAAATAATTATAATAGAAGGGTAACTTACCTAATTAATCGTTGAATTCTTTTATTAAAATTCTCTATTCCTTATTAAATATATCCTTTATATTAATATAAATAATAGCGTTCTACATTAAAAGGAAGCTATCTACGTTATTAAACCACTTACACTCACTGGAGGGAGAATTACTATTAATATTAACAGCGTAGGTATTACAAATATTAGAACTAAAATATTACACGCAATTATTTTACAATAAAAGTTATATGCCTACGTAATGAAAGCGGTTATTTTAGTTTGCTAAATTATTCTAAATAGTAGTTTCGTCGGGGAAATAACTACTAGTACTACCACAGTTATTAAGTATAGTACCCTTAAAAGAGCCTTCCTATTTTTTACGTATATTAAAGGCGACGTTCTTTATAACGTATTATATATAAATTTAGTATTGAACGTTATTGAATTTAATATATAATATATTCTTAAATACCTAATTATAGTTAATAATAGTTATATAAGGGCGAGGGATTTAGTATAAAATAAGAATCTCCTTTATAACTCTTAGTACCTATATAAAATCTTCCTCTTTTTTACTATTTAATAAATAATACTCGAAATTAAAAATTATATATATAGCTATTATACTATAAAACTATAGTAAAGGTATATCGAACCGGTTGATTTTGTAGGTACAATCTATCACCTAAACTTCTAGGTTCTTCTTCTACTACTTAATATACTAATTGTAAGTCCAAAAGACCCGCGCGATTTTACTATTTTTCTAATTATTCTAACAGTATATTTTATAGAAGATTCCGGAGGTAATAATCAAACAATTAAAAAATAATTAAATAGGCGAAAGAGGATTAGCCTCCTTTATCTTATAAATTTTAATTATATTAATTACGTCCTAATTTTTAATTTCAATAGTAGGGAATTCAGCCTTAATAATAATAATAATATTAAAAATAATTACTTTTAACTAAAGAGATAAGCGAATAATACTAGCAATAATATCCTTATTTCTAACTACCCAACGGTAACTAGGTAGATACCTAGTAACTTCTAAATCGAAATTATAATTATAATATAGGTATTAGTGAAATGGCGAGAAAACCACAATAATAATACTAACACTACCACGACCAGTACGATATATAAGGACCGTAGTTCTTAGCTGTCTAATTAAGTAGAGTAGTAGATAATTTTCAAGTCTTTTCGAATAGTCGAGATGGGAGGTATTAAGCTAGATACGACTTATTGGAGTTACGTATTTGTTGAATAGCTTAATATTCAGTTTTCGCCGGAAAACGAGGGTAACTATCGGATCTTTCTGTATCTTTCTTTCGAATATAAATAGGGATACGAATAAGCATTTCCCTAAGAAGGATAAAGGATTATTTAGTATACTAAATAAATAAAGATAAATGATTAGCGAGTATTAAAAATTAATTTTGTATAACTAAGAATTACTAAAGAAATAGAAATTGATTATTTAGTTTAACGAAAAGTTAATATTCTATTAATCTTCTATCCTATTTCCTTATGTTCGATCTCCTTCTTTTTCTATTCTTTTTCTATACTAACTATCTAGGTTTACTTAATTTAGAAAGTACTTCCCTAATCCTATATATTTTAAAAATTTTTGAAAAAAAAATTATTATTGAAAATTAATATATATGTTCTTATATATTACCCTAAATTAAATCTTCCCTTTGAATTTACAATAAATCCCTTAAGTAGATTTACCTTTATATATATATATATATATATAATTAGTACCTTCCTCTATTATTTCTATTACCCTTATATCTTCTCTTACCTTTCGTAATTAAATATCTTTCTCTAACGCCTTTAGTAAGGAGATAATTATTTATTTTCCGAATAATATTATTCTAGGTCGTTCTAATAAATTATAAAGGTCTTTATAGTTTTAAACGAATATTTGGATTAAATTTTTCCCTTAAATTCCGTTATAATTTAAAAAGGGTTATTAGGATTATATTTAGGAAGGTTGTCCAAATTGCGTTCTATGTGGCGAATAGAATAGACTAAAAAATTTACTATAAATTTATAGGAATTAAAATTAAGTAGTATTACTACTTGTAATTAATTAACTACCGGGCTTTAGTTAATAATAGAAGTTTCTCTAGCAGAGTAAAAACTCTTAAATCCGGATATTAGAAATAATCTTTACTACAATATAGGCATAGGGTTTAATAATATACGCCTATATTAAGAGGAATTAAAGGGAATAAACGGGTTCGAAGGCCTCTTAAAATTTAAAGGGATTAATAACTAATTAATCCTCCTTATTTAAATAAATATTTGTACGAAATTTATAGGTAATCCCAAGGTATTTAGTAGGCTAATATTTTTCGGAACCGATAAAATTTTATTTTCTAATAATAATTTAAAAGTTCCTATATTTTTAGGTAGAAGAGGAGTTTATAATTATATACAATTTATTAGAATATTAATAGAAAGAGCCCTAATTTCCCTAGGAGGGTTAGATATAGTTAATGTTAGGTTACGGCGTATTTAATTATTAATAATTAATTAAATAAAAGCGCTTCGTTTCCTAATTAAATAAGAATTGAGAAGTAATAATACTATTAGACGAAATGAAATTAAAGTAGAGGCTAGTTAATTCGTTATCTTTAAGTTCTAAGAATAAATTATAATTTATCGAAGTAGAATTAGAATTAGAATCGAATTTTAAGAAGAATTTAGGAGTAAATAAATATTGCTTAAAGAAGAAATTAATCTTCTAACTTCTCTTTATTGTACTATAAAAATAGGAGAGGAAGAATTAAACAATAAAAAATTAAATAACAAAGAACTTTCGTTACTATTTTCTTTAATAAGTCTAATTAATATATATTAGAATAGAGGAAGGTTAATTATAGTATTAGGGCTATTATATAATTAATAGTAAGGAAAGATCTCTATACTTTCGAACCTTTATAATTAGTTCTCTTTAATTTAAATAATATAATCCTTAGACTATATAAAACGCTAAGGCTTTTCTCTAGTACCGTATATATATTTACTTTATTAGGAGAGGATATTATTAGATTTACTATTTACTATAAATAATACTTCTCCTAAAGGATTCTTAAGTAAACCTTTAAATTATTATTACTTTATCTATAAAATATTATAGATTATTCTTTAATATTATTGTACTATAATATTCTTTTTCTATTCTTATTTAAATATTGTATATTCCTTTAATATTATATTCTATTTTTAAATTTTAGGTACAAGTATCCAAAAATTTAAATTATATTCTATTAATTTTATTCGTACAACTTCTACCATTATTAATCTATAGATTTAATCGGATTTTTAAGTAATAAAATTAATCTAACGAATAAAAAGGTTTAGGTTAGACTTTATTACCCCCCAAACGCTAAATCTTTAAAATAACGAAACTAAGGTTAATTCTATATTTTTTAATATAGAACTATATAGATTAAAATTGTAGTAATTTTATTAGCCTGCCAATTAATTAAAGA